GTTGGGATTCAGTCAGAGCTACACGGCATGGATTGTGGGGTGTCGCACCCCAAGTCTCTGAGTCCGTAGGTACAGGTGAGGCCTGAGACTGCCTGTGAACACATTCCCAGGACGTGCGCCCGCGCTGACCGGGGTCCGCCTGCGAGGCGCACTGCTATGCAGCAAGCAGCGCCCGGCCATCAGTCATTCCGCTCTGGATAGCGCTGTGTTTAGTGGGTTATGGCAGCCCAATGTGTGGCAGAGAAATGGCAGATGGTATAGGAAAAGGATGCGGAAAGTGAGCAAAAGGATATGAAGTCAAATAAACCTGAAAAAATGATTTAAGTAATTGAGATCATTTTACTTGGAAAAAGAACAATATTGTTTCATCAATATTTTCAAAGGATAAATGTCAACTTTGACTGAAGTGTTCTCTGCATCTCCATGGGCTGAGCCAAGACAAACCGAATTCGAGTAGGGTATTGAAACACCACTAAGCGCTGAGGGAAAGTGCAGAACCTCAGTGTCAAAGATAGCTCGACTTCGATTCAGTATAGAAAATGCCACTCGAGAAGATTCCATCCAATGATTAGGTTCTGTGGTGTCCAAGAATAAATGTGCTCAGAGTTCCAGGGTATCCTGGAAGAAGAAAGCACATGGTCGGAGCAGAACCGGCTTCCCCTTGGGTTTTAGCCCAGCAGCCACAGCGTGTGTGGAAGAGAGGCCACCCCCAGCCCACGTGGAGGGCTAACACTGTCACCAACCCAACAGCAACCCCGTGGGTTCCCGAAGGGCGCTGCCTGGTGAGAAACACACACCCAAGCCTTTGAGAGAATGCCAAGAAGATGTTCTCTTACCTTTCAAAATATTCAGGGAGTCGAGTATCAGGGGCATCTGGGCCCCATAGATGTTTTCATTTTGGCTCCAAACCTATTTTCAGTCGAAAGCTGGCACTTGATGTTACTATTTGCATTTTGATGATTAAAACTGTCCTAGATTTCTTCTGTATGTTTTATAGCATGGAGATATTTAAGGTATATTCTAAAATCCATTTTAGCTGTGTACTTTGACATACTCCTATGGGGTAAAAGGATGTCCTCACCCCCTGGGGCAGAGAAGAAGCACAGTGGATGTAACGACCACTGGGACCATTATCAATGGTACTTTGCTGCTGAAAAGTCACAGAAGGTTACAGATAAATCTCAAAACCACGGTGAGATATTTTAAAATTTCTCTGATGGACCTGGCTAGGAAAAGGTGGCTTCAGGATAAGTTCAGTTGAATTCTAGAACACAGAGAACAACATTTGTTGTCTTAATTATCTCAATATATTTACGAAAACACATGCCGCTCCCCACGTACACACCACGCGTGTCCCAGAAGGTCACGTTTGATGAAGTGGAGGTGGAGGCTTTGTTGCTAGGCACACACACTCACACAGCATGTGAAAACACACACACACACATGCACATGTGTATCTATACATATAAAACTTATGAGAGAATTGCCTTAAGATAATGGTAATTAGGATTTTAAAAAGTGAGAACATAAGCATAGAATAAATATATTTAGAGACCTTTACTAGATACTAGAAATTCTAGGAAAAGTTCAAAGTTCACATCCACAGAATACAGACTAGTTAGTTGTCTGTGCACTGACCTAAGTACATGTATGTAAAACACATACTTGTGTATTTTAGAAGATTTGGAGTGATGAAGGGGCGACCGTTACCATCACGCAGCTGTCTGCAGGCCGCCACAGCACCCTGGGGCGTGTGAGAATGCAGATTCTGCGTTTTACCGAGATCCTTAGGTGGTATGTATGCCCTTTAAACATTTAAATTCGAGGGTCTCTGGTCGAAATCACCAGTATTTTTCCTGCATTGTTGGTTAAAGGAAAGTCGATCTGTCTGCTCATTCAAACCATGTTTACACTTCCTTGAAGTCTATCGGCTACTTCTGCCTTTCAAAATTCTCACCAGATTTGAAGGTGCCAAACAGATATCAAAACCATCCAATAATCACCAGTTTTTAAAGGAGACAAGAAAGCAATCTGTCTCTTTATTACACCAGGCATGTAATCAAAGTAGAGACATATAACACCACTCATTTAATATGTAATTTAAATTTGGTATGTCAGTAAGTTGTCTTAATTTTATACATGTTACTATGAAACAAATCAATCATTATTTTAATAATGGATGAGCATTTCTTTAAGAAAAATGTTTAAGAAGTCTCCAAGATATTTTATTGGCACTATACATCTTTATTTCTCATCTTCTCATTTAAACTTGTTTAAATCCCGCTTTACATTCTGGGGACTTTAAGACCATTCTCACTCACCAAGTTGGTTGAGGAATTCTCCCACCTGAACTTGGCTGCCAGGAAAGGGGGTGCTCTGCCCCTCCACCCCAACTCTGCCTCCAGGTACCAGGAAGGAAGACGGCCCCCTTTACAATGAAGAAACAAGCTTGATGATACAAGGAAATAGAGTTACAGGGATGAAAGGAAACCAAACCGTGGATAGCTACAACCTGGATAGTGAGCCTCAACTAAGGATTCAGGTACGGTAACTAAATGGTCCAGGAGACCTGTTTCTATTGGAAATGACGGAAATTTTTTGCTAGCTAAAATTTTTGGTTGCATGGAATAAGAATGCCTGCTACCTCAGGACTGTTGGAAATATGACTGTTTTACATGATGCATTTAGTCTTGTTGCAAAATTAATGTTATCGAAGCTACATGTGTATATAGAGGTATACACACATATCTAAACATAGACATATGTATTAAGACATGTGCACACTTCTTCATAATTAACCTCACAGAAACCACATAAACTTCCAAAAAACCTTCACAATGTAAACATGTTATAGTTGAATTGAAAAATCTTAGCTTAAAGCAGATGTTTCAAAAACAGAGGTAAAAAGCAATCATTTAACTAGTATTGATAAGAACATTATATATATATACTGATGTATGTGTATGATCTAGAGCTTAGAATAACAAACGGAGGGAAAATTGCCTTATAGTGAGAGTGTCCTCACCTATTCACAGTAAAACATTGCGCTGGGGCCTCTGGGAGTCGGCTGGCCTTGCTCCAAAAGGGGAACATGCTGAGCGAAGACGAGAATGCTAAAAACAGAACTTTTCTACATAGGGCCGTACTGATAGTCACATCCCGTGTGACCATGAGAAGCTGTGTATCTTAACTGTAGAACTAAAAGGCAGTGGGAATGATGTGTTAGAAATCAAGAGGGAGCAGTGGTGCTGAGAGAGGGCAGGTACAGAGGCTGGAAAACCCGGGTTCACGGCCCAACTCTGCCCTGGAAGCCGCGGCCTCAAGCACATTTCTCAGCCCTGCTTAGCCTCAGTCGTCCTGCCTGCAACCGCGTGCACTGAGTGCAGTAAGAGAGCGGGTGGAGCCCCCAGGAGAGAGGCTGGAGACAGAGGGCGGTGGAAACAGCACGCAGTATGAGGATTATAATTCTAGCTTGGAGAGACCCACCATTTCTACAAAGACATCGTTTATTGCTCTCAAACCTCCTTAGGAATATTTCCCAGCCCCTGACCAAACCCACTGACTTTAATTATTTCTGCCATGGAGATGCTATTGACTTTAAGGATTAAAAAACAGACTCATTCTAATCAATATACCAACTCAATCACACGTTGGAGACATTTTCTCAAAGGTGTTCGCTTGATTAGGTTGATCATAAGGTAATATGCATTGACGATCCTTTCCCATTTCTGACATATTTTAAACTTTCCCCACAAGTAGCCTAAGGGAGGAGACACAGGCTCGAGAGGATTCATTGCTCATTGTGATGCACAAGAAGGGGCTCTGGAGAGATGGCATCAGTGTGCAGGTGGCCGGAAGAGTCCTGAGACCCGCGGGGGCAGACCACTGGGGACACACCGGGGGGGTATTTACTGCTAATGATTCCCCCGGGACCCTTCTACTGGTCTCAGCACCACCTGAAAGGGCTCAACAGACCTGCTGCACAGAAATTCTCCCGCTGGCTGCAGAGATGCAGCTGCAAACCCACTGTCCGGGGAGGGAAGGCCCATACCCAGACCGTCTGTCTGCACCACCGGGAATGCTGCTCCCAGACACGATGATTTTGCCATATGTTTAAAAGCAGTTCTCCTGTGTAATATCCTCATGAAATCTCTGCTCTCTGAAAACAGGCAATATGTTTTTTATTGCATTTAAGTTGCTCTTTTGGTGAAAAGAAGTTCAAACTTAGCTTTCTATGAATGGCCCCTGGTGAACTTACATGCTATATGACAGTCAGATAGGGGCGTTATGCACCCACAAACAAATTAACCATTAAAACCAGGGACTACCTGTTTCAAATGCATTTCACACCACTGACAATATGAACCAGAAATACTTGGTTTACAATATCAATTCTATTCGTCTCAATCAAGAGTAACTATTAATGCATTCTTAAAGATAGAAAAAGTGGTGTTTTTCATATTTTGTGATAGCGTTACATTGGTTTATTTTTCAGAATATACTGAAATAAACTGAATCTCCTTTCAAAAGTTATTAATTTTTTCCTTTTGTTTTCTGAAAACAATCAGACTGTCACTTAAGAAACTACCAGGGTGAATCTGAGGAATCCCACTTGATATGTAAATCAAAACCGATTTTGCCACTCACTTTAAAAGGCCATATTAAAAACCTATGTTGAAAAGGAACTCATTTGATTCTGGTCCATGGCGACATTAGAAACTAGTGATCTAGCTAACGCAGGCAACCATGCAGAAAGCGTTACAACGGTCACAGAAATACCCGAGTATTTCTGCTGGAAGTAAAGGAAGGATGAATAAGAATGGCTCCCTAGTTTCAGTGTCAGTAACTTATTGCTGAGTTCATGTTAACAAAATCGGGTCTCTTCCAAACACAAACATGTGGAATATTTTCACCAGCTTGAAAGAGGTTTCATTCTGTTAGCTACATGCAATGTTAAAAATCTACCTTGACATTAAAAAAAAAAGTCTGGCAAAAGTAACTTCATTTTCCTCAATAACTCAGTTTTATTTTAAAGTCCAGGTAAAAACTCTGGGACCAGTTTACTTTTTTATAACATCATGGCCATGTCATATCCCTTCCTTTCTGAACCACCACCAACCCTCCAATCAAAATACAAAATAAAAACCCTGTCTCCAAATAAAATACAAAACAATTCCCCCATTCCCAAACAAAACACACATAAAAAATGTTGAGCAAAGAACTAAACACCTTTTTTTAAAAGGGTGAAAACACTGGTAACATTATTTTCACTTCAATCACTTAACTCATCTGACTGAAATGCTCAGGGTTCCTGTGGACCCAAAGGGAACCCAGTATAAGGAATTTGAGGGAAGCATCTCAACCGTGGGCCAGGCAGTGGAAGTGCTTGGTGGGTGCAGTGCTGGGTGTGCAGGAGCTTGGGAGCAGAAGGCTGCTACACATCGCTGGGCGACCGAGCTCTCTGGGAGAGACTGGATGGGATGCAGCCACAACACACGAGGCAGAGGGCCTTCTGGATCTCTTGGTTTCTGAAAGCATATATGACAGGATTGATGATAGAATTGTAGGTGGCAGGCAGGAGGGTGGCGTAGGTGTAGATGGAGGGATATGTGTAATCGGCTATCAAGGAATAGAGAGTGAAGGGCATCCAGCAAGCAGCAAAGGTCCCCAGGATGATGGCCAGCGTGGAGACCCCTCTCCTGGTGGTCACGTAGTGCGAGGTGGCCAGGAAGTGGTGCTGCAGGGCTATCTGGTGGGCGTGCCTCATGACGATCTTACAGATCTGAATGTAGAGCTGGAGCATGAGCGCAAACATGAAGAGGAAGGAGACGGAGAGGATGGCCGCGTTGTTCTTGGTGAGCGGTCTGACCACGCTGCAGGTGGACTCGTCTCTGAGGCAGTTCCAGCCCAGGATGGGCAGCAGTCCCAGGCAGATGGAGGTCCCCCAGAGCATGACAAGCATGACATAGGTAAACGTGACTGTCCTCTCCGAATGGTATGTCAAAGCATAATACAGGGAGAGGTAGCGGTCAACAGTGATGGCCAGCAAGCTGCAGACAGAGGCGGAGAAAGAGGCGACAATGAGTCCAATTGTGACCAGCTTGGTGGCTTCTGACTGCAGCAGGTAGGCAAAAACAAAATTGATGATGAGTCCAATGCCCGCCAGCAGGTCTGCAAGAGCCAGGCTGCCTATCAGCAGGAACATGGGTGCTCGGAGGCTGGGGTTATGGAAGATGATGAGGACCACCACGGCATTTTCACACGAGATGAGAGTTCCCGAGGTACACAGGACAATGTCCCAGGGGTTGACCACGAGCTCTGGCTGTGGCTCCACAACAGGAACCCGGGAGGAGGCAGTAGCCGAGACGTTCTCCGGAGCAGCGCCGGCATCTAAGTAATCCCGAAGCCAGCCGCTGAAATTGACCTTCGGGTCTCCGTTCATTTTAACCCCTGGCCTCTTCAACGAAAAGACATTTTTTTTAATGGAAAGGTACACCAGGGGGACAGTCCAACATCATGCAAAACGACACGAAATGAAAGCCAGACCCTCTTCCAATACCGCTATCAAATGCCACAAGTTTTGTGAATTGTAAAACTGTTACGAAATAAAACAAAAGCCAAAGTCTCCGTGATCTAAAACCCACTGCAAAAAATGCCATGTGGCGTTGGGGAAAGCGCAGGAAAGGGCTTCAAAACACAGTCTCGAGGGAGGCAGGCCCACGGGGACGGCACGGTCCGCTCGCTGGACGCGGCGACGCGCCGCCAGCACCGCACCCCGCACCCGGAGCGCACGGCCGTGGGACGCGTGGCGGCCGGAGCCCCGCACGCCGCGGCCGGAGTCGGAGCCCGCCGCCACCCCCACCGCGCATTTAAACCGCTCGTTTCCATCGGGCGCCCCCCTCTAAAAGAGACCCCGGCGCGCGTGCTCACACTCGTCCTCACCCCCAGCCAGAACAAAGAGGGGTCTGGACTTCCCCGTGTGCACAATGGGCGGGTGTGTGCAATGGAGGTGTGGAGACAGGCAGACGGACAGACAGACCGACAGATGCTCAGACACTGCCGCCGCTCCCCTGGCGGCGGGGACCGGCGGCGGACGCGAGGGGAACACACAGGGTGGCGGGACCGCGTCCCCGGGGTCATCGAGGGGGTCACCTTGGCGCTCGCAGGCCGAGGGGGCTCGTCCGGCGCGTCCGGAGCACGTGGCGAATCGTGTCGCAGGTGGGCGCCGCGGCGCGCGGCCGCGAGGGGCTGAGGCCGCGCGGGAGGGGCTGCGGACCCGGGGCGCGCTGGGCGCCAGGTGAGCGGCGGGCGCCAGGTGAGCGGCGGGCTGGGCTGGAGCGCCCGGCTCTCCCCGCCCGCCCGCCCGGCGGCCGAGTTCGCAGGCTCCCCGCATGCGCGCGTGCCCGGCCCCGCGCCCGCCCCGCTCGCTCCCGCACGGGGAGCCCCGAGAGATCGGCGCGCGCCCCCACGGGTCGCGGCTGCGAAGGGGCGCGGGCAGAAGCCCCGCACCGCCCTCGGGGAGGCGGAGAACCCGGAGGCTGAGAAATGCACCGTCACCCCAGCTGCCCGCCGCCGCCCTGCAGGCCAGCCCCGCCGGCGGTCCTGGGCCTGCACGCGTAGGGCTGGGGCCAGGGAGCCCCGTGACCTACTTGGTTCCTGAGGGTTCCCTGGGGAGTCCGCGTCTCCAGTGGCCTCTTCTCTCCGCCCTTCCCTAAACTGCTACCTACATTCACAGTCAAAAGAACTGCTTAGGGTGGTATTCAGGATTCGCAGCAGGAATGTGGGGTGAGCAGGTTACGGAGGCAGATCTTTAAAGCAGCAAAATGCGCAGCCAGCTGTTCTGGAATTGCCCTTGACCACATTGCATCCCAATTCCAAAGGGGTCCCTTTCCTTAGGTGTGCCTAGACCCGGTTCCTTATTACTTTTTCCCAGGAACGTTTGTTTATTAGGGCCTGGCTATGTGAATCATCATTAGTATCATCAGACTGCGCTTATTAAGTGCTCCTTGAGCTGTGTTTGCAAAGGGAACTCACTGAGTTTCTGCAGAAGCTTCCTGCAGGTGCTGTCCAAAAACCAATTCACTTAGGTACTGAAGTAGCAGTGTTCATTTATTTTTCCATTTTAACACACCAACAGGTTCTAAGATTGAGAACTTGATAGCAGGTTGCTCTACAAGCCTATGCCTTCCTCCGGATACAAAAACCAGAGCACCTAATAATAGATCTTAAGTTGAAAGATGGTCTCCCAGTTCAAAGATGGGAGAAGGAAAAGGCCTGATATACTGGCCTTTCCCCATCAGCAGAAGGTTTTTCCAACTACCTGTCTTCACATATACTGGGAGGCTCCTGTACCAATAGAGATGGCCTGCAGGACGCAGGACCCTAGAACTCCTTCCATTATTCTCTAACCATCCAGCCTTCCCCTGGTTCTCACTGTCACTCCATACCCAGCCTTCAAGCTCACCCACCCTTGACATCCCCTTCTCCCCTCCTCCCTTCCTCCCATCCATCAACTCCAGACTCTGCAAGACCTCTTCAGCTCTCCCTGCCTGTCAGTTCCCAACCACAAATCGGCAGAGCCCCATTCTGCATTTGCAATCCTCTCTCCCAGTGATAATAATGCTGCTGGTCCGTTTGTCCACATTTGGAGAAGCAAGGTTCTATGGAGTTTTAAGAATCGCTTGTAGCTGACTGGGAGTCATCGGATGCCTGTACCAGCCAAGAACCATGCGAACGCTGGGCATGCGGATTCAGACATGTGCATGAAGCCACAATGACACCAGGCAGCAAATGATGTGGTAAATGAATGTACTTCTTCCTCCCAAGTGCTACATGATGAATCAACATGTTTTGGCACTGTTCTGGCCAATAGTACTCACTCACAGAGCTTTCAGTAGTGGAATTTACCCCCTGTTTAAAGTCTTTGGAAAGAAGGAAAAAGGAAGAACTGATGGTGTAGGAGAGGTATGTGTGTTTCTGCAGCGAATCCTGGGAGCAGTTAGAGGAAGAAACAGGACAGTTAGCTGTGCATTCACGGTTCAGTTCAGTTATCCTTCCCCTTGAATGAGTACTTGCAGCAAAAAGAGTGTCAACTTTACTATACTTCTACTTCTATGTTCATTGGTGTATTGGCTTAGGCTTTTGTCGCTAAGGGGCAGAAATCCAATACGAAGTAGCTTAAAGAGAAAAATGGGTGTTGACTCGCATGGCTGGGAAGCATCCATGCAGTGGTTCACAGAGAAGGAAAAGGGGCAGGAGCACAAGCCGACCTGTGTCTTGAGATTCCTGGCCAGGCCCTGTCCCTGACTTATTTCTTGTCTTTTCCAGGCTCAAACTGTCCTCTCCTAGACAAGCATCTCCCATGCAGCCATGATGGTGGCCCAGGTGGCCCCTGGCTTGCATGCTGAGACATCTTCCTAGCTGATAAGAGGAATTCCCAAAGGACTGGCCAGCCTGGTGTGGGCCCAGCTCTGAACTAACCATAGGGCTGATGGGAAGGGATGAATTGTGGCCAGGCCTGGGTTGTGCATCGAGTTCCGCAACGGCATTTCCATCTGAACTTCACGGAATGAGCATTTCCCTAGAGGGAAAAAGTGAATGGGGGACACAGGGTGGGGAGATACTGGGTGTCCTCTACAGCTTGCAGTATGGTGGGCGGATAGGTTTCCATGGCCCCTGTGACGTGGGTCATGAAGTAGCTGTCTGCAAGGTGCTTCTCAATGTATTCACCACCATAGCAGCACACTGCTGCAGATGACCTCAGTAGGTGACATTTATTGTCTTTTCATCACTTATCCTCTTTGTCACTTTTTTTATAACTTTGCAAGAAATTATAAACCTTCAAGCATGATCGGGCATTTTTACAACCTATTACCGTTTTCACAACAATTACCGTTTTGTGAGGAAAAAGCTCTGGGCCCGTCTTCATCTATGCAGTGTCCTCACCACCATCACCCTGCACCTGCATCTACTTACTAACCCTTCTGGGTAATCGAATGTGTAAGTCACAAGCTGTCCCAGATCACGGGCTGGAGCAAGCCAGACCTGAACCAGTGCTGTCCAGCGTCCATGGGGTCGGAATGTTACCAGCCTGCTTCCTGTTGATGTTGATGGTTACCAGTCAGTTCCTCCCCGTGTGTATTTAACTGGGGCACTGATGTGGATCAGCTCAACCATACTGTCTTCTGTCAGCCAAGGGTCTGTAGCACACCTGAGATTAAAGCGTGAGTCCAAAGTAAAGTTTAATTTTTACTAATTCTTTATCTTACGGTGAATTTTACTGCAGAAAGTACCTGTTTCAGAAGTGTACTGGATGGTGAAGAGTTACTGAGGCATCTAACCATCTTGAGAAATGGAACATTGCTGGCACCCTAAAGCCTTCCTCTTGACCCCTCCCAGTTACTGCCCCCCAGGGAGAAGGAAACCACTCTTCCGCAGCCAGACACCGTAGATTAGGTTTACCTGGTTTTGAACTGATGTCAGTAGGATCACATACCCCATATGCTATTGTGTCTGGCTCCTTTCACACAGCATGATTTCTGTGAGGGGTACTGATGGGTTGCATGGGGCAGTAGTTCCACCTTTTTGACTGCTGTGTAATGTTCTATTGTAGAAATGCCAGTTTTTTAATCCACCCTCTACTAATCAACGTGGGTTATTTTGACTACTGCAAATAAAACTTTGATAAACATCCTTATACATGTCACATGATGCTCATTCATATATATTTCTATTAGGCTTTGTGGTATAAATTCTTTATCCCATGTCCCATAGGATAAAGAATTTCTCCATCAAAGTATACTTTCATATTTAATACTCTACTTAAACAAACCTGCCTTCTATTTAAGAACAGTGAGAGGCCTACAAAAAAACCAGAACACACCAGTCCTTTCCCTGTTTATACGTCCCTTTAAACTTTGAACAGAGAAGAAACATGTTTCATGAGAAAATCAGACCAAGAAAGAAAGGTAATGTTGCTGGAAATATTTTTAGTCTGAGGGTCTGTGAGAAAGGGGGCTCTGTCGTCAGTGCTGACACGGCCTCGGTTCTATGTATATTGTTGTGTTTTTAGAATTGTTTTAAACTTTGAATGTTTTTTCTCAGTATAAAGTAATACATATTCGTTACAGAAATTTTGGAGCCTGTAACTAAAATTAAAAAGTAAAATTACCTGTACTCTCACTTCCAGAGATAGTCCCTGGGAACTTCTGTTAAGGTAAGTTTTTTATTCATTTATTTGGGATTTACTTGTTTGCAGGATAACTCACTTTGCTTCTTTCCTCCCTCCCTCCCTCCCTCCCTCCCTTCCTGTCTCTCTCTCTCCTTCTGTCCCGCCCCCCCCTTCCTTCCTTCCTAATTTTTTTATCCTCACATAAGAATACACTTACTGATTTTAAAGACAGAGGAAGGGAGAGAGAGAAACAACAATCAGTTGCCTCCTGCGTGCATCCGCCCGGGAGTGAACCCACAGCCGGCGTGCGCCCTGACCAGGTGTCAGCCCCCCAGCCTTTCAGTGGACAAGATGAGGCTCCACCCAACCGGCCCACCGACCGAGGCTAAACTCAGTTATCTTTTGGGCACGCAAGAGCTTTCCTTGCCTCTCCAAACTGAGACTGAGTTTGTGGAGCACCTGCCGCCTGCCAGGCCCTGTGCAGCGCGCGCTTCACTCCCCGGAGGTTAGGACGCTCCACCGCCAGCAGCTTGTTGGATGCTGTCGTCAGGGAAAACGGCCAGCCGGCTGCCTCCCACAAAGCCTCACATTAATTTCTCTGCAAATTTACTCTGGTTTAGGGAGATTTATATTAACTAGGCTGATACATTTTTGTCAACATGCCAACTAGCATCTAAATATTTACAGTCTCAAAGCCAGGTATGAGCAGACCTTGAGCAAGTCAACAATGCACCGATGTTCTCTATTTGTAACGTGAGACTGTGAACAGCATCGACCTCCGGGAGCTGGTGTGTGTGTGACGCAGCACAGAGCGCCGGTATCCCAGCCTGGTGCAGAGAAAGCCCAGGGTCTGTAAGTAATGGCCGCAGCTCTTGGTGTGGTCATTGCTAGTGTAGTGTCTGCTCGCCGGCCTGTGAGCAGGATCCACACGAATCCTATTATATTTCAGTTGCACCGGCCAAATACCTCGGCCTCCTGACGGCAGTCATCACTTGCAGAACACCCAACCTGGCAGGAAATTCTGTTTACCATCAAAATACACCCAGGGTGGCTAATGGCTAAAACTTGGAGGCAAGCAAGATGCTCTTCAATGGGTAAGGGATAACAAACTGTGGTATAAGCTGACTGTGGAGTATTAGGTACCACTACGAAGAAATAAGCTTGCCAGCCACGAAGAGACATGGAGGACATGTCAATGTAT